TGGCTTTTTGTGATATTTTTAAAATCAGTTATACATACTTCATACAAAAGATATGATTTGTAGTATCTTTTTATTGTATATGAATAGATGATTTATGAATATTTCTCTGTGAATCTCCTTATGAAATGTGCCAACCTATACATACTTATAACCAAAGTAATATAATTTCTATAATTTATCGAAGTTAAGCACATTCCGATTTTTTGTATAAAATATTGCAATCTAATTTGATAATTTTGGATTTATGTAAGATTTGTAAGTAGAAAAATTTTATATATAGCTATATATTTTAGATATAGAATATGCTTTTTATATCAAATACATTATCGTAACCCCATCTCTCATGCAAAAGTAACTATAATAAATATAATTTCATGCAGTATGTTGTGCCATTATATTATTTCATTAATTTTTAACATTAAAAAATTTATAGGCTAAACTTATTAATTTAAAATTTTAAACTCATTAATTTTTTTTCTTATAGTTGTGTAGTTTTTCTTTTTTGTTCAGTATATTCAACATTAATTTATAATTCATTGGTGTAGATAATTGCTTATGTTATAATATTAATAATCTTATAAAATGTTTTTAGATATTAAATAATTTATATCAATAATATCTATTAGACATTGTCTAATAAACTTATTGAATATTTTTGTTCATTTACATGTACGCTTCGCACATACATATACGTATAATAAAACTAATATTTATTTTAAATATATATTTTCTTCAAATATTTAAATATTTAACAAAATTCTTTTAATGTTAAAATTCTTTTATCCTGAAATTGTTTTTTATAATAATAAATAATTAGACATAATTTAGATAAAATGTATTTCACAATTTATTTACAATATATACTTCATAATAAATTTACAATGTTGAATTTATTTACAATAACGATCAGCTTTCATTTTACTTCTCCTATCTAATAGAATTTCATGTAAATTTCCTTCCACTTTTGCTTTTTCCAACTCGGAGCGATCAGATTTGTTTATTTTTAACTTTTTATCTTGAAACTTTTGAAATTTCCGTCTGTGAAATTAAATATAGTTATTATTCGAAATTTTAAACATCTGATTTAAGATAGAACAAAAGAGATGAGTAGTTAACACAGCAAAATAATTGTCGCAAAATGTAAAAGTTTTAGTAATTTTTGAAATTGAATAATTTCTTATTCAATAATTATATGATTGATAAGATTTCACGTAATACTGACACATAATTTACTTCGACCTCCGTGAGTGAGCCTTGCTCTTCTTTCGGAATATCCTTACTAGGACTTTGAGAACGTTGTATTATACTTCTTACAACAACAAATTCTGACGTATCAGCTGTCCTATTTTGACAAACTATATCATCGTCATTTGTAACTGATATGAAACATCCAATATTATTTAGTATCGCAAGCTTGCCATCCTGAAAAAAAGCATTAATTAATATATTTAAAAAGCGGTGCAAAAATATTCCTACATTCAGTAATAAAAATTTAACTACTTATGAAATTGAAACTATATTCATATTTTGTTTTTTATTTTGGTTTATACATTATTTAATAAAATCATATTATTAAAGTTTTTATTTTCTATTCAAGACTTTCTAATTAATTTCTTTGATAAGAAACAACATAGAAGCAAACATAAAAGTTAATTGTAAATACAAATACTAGATATTTTTGAAAAGAATCAACAAAGTATAAATATATTAACACAAAGTGTGCGTGCGTGCGTGCGTGCGTGCGTGCGCGTGCGTATAAAATAATTTTTAACTAAATTAATATCTCTAATTTTGATTTCTATATATGGAAATTACTTGAAAAATTGGCTCCCACTGTTCAATAGATCCAACTGCATCACTTCGACCAATAACGATGCCGTTTTTATCAACCCCAAGATATTTACCATATCCTGATTTCAAAGCAACCTTAGTCTCACTTATAGGAAATGCCGTTAATATTTCCTCTGGTAATGGGCCTTCTCCTTCGTCATGTGGTGCTCCAAGAGTAAACAATCCGTTATCAAGTGCTTTCACGTAAGTTTGGTTTCCAAATTCAATAGCCACTGTTCCGGTAATTTCAGTTACATTCTTAACCTTCCACCATCCTCCTATTAAACAAAATATGGCGTATGATATATGACTTATTGCCGTCTCTGGGAGACACGGCGATAAGTTACACGACAGTACATCATACGTGAAAGCTTGTGCATTACTTACGTTTACAACTTAATGCCTAAATTCTAAACAGAATCGTAAGGTGCATAACATATTCCTGTAAGATTTGTAAGAATTTTTAAGTGCTTATACCTTTATAAAATATTTTTACAGACAGCTTCTTACTAGCCATAAAATTTACAAAAAATCGTAGATATTTACGAATAATCGTACGTCTTACGATACATTCGCATAAAATTAGAATACTAGTCATAAGTTCTTACAAGTTTTACGAGAACACATTACGAATCTTACGATTCTGTTTAGAATTGACCCATTGATCTAAGTAAGTGTTAACGACAATTCTTGTGCTCAAACCCTAATTTCTAGCCAAGTATTAATGGCATCGCATAAACACAGAAACCGACGCTTTCAAAATTTTTTACTGATTTAGTTTAAGTAGTGATATCTATATTATATATTAGCCAAATATTAGCCAAAGCTATTTCTCAGTATATATAAATAAGCCCATATACTCGTGGAGTACGGAGAAAGCAGAACCGCGTCGAACCGCCTGCAGCTGCTCGGTAGGATGCAGAGAGATGGTTCATTTAAGAGGAGCTTTCCAGCAAGAGACACAAATTGACACAAGAATCATCCTATCCTTGTTCGATAATCAGTAAGAAACAAAGGCAGAATGATTCTTGTGTCGATTTGTATCTCTACTGGAAAGCTCCCTTAGTCAGCTCTAACACTATAAAATATAATTAGAATTTTGTTCTAAAAATACTTGCATCATATTTCTATAACTATAAACTAATGATTTAAGAAAAAAAAAACGATTTTTTCAAACTTCAGGGATGGCGTTATCCCTTAAATGTTAGGAAATCTACTATGCTGAATAAAGTAGCATAAGTATGTGCTAAGGCTATACTATAATAGCATGCTAAAATAGAATATGTAAAATTAATATATAATTGTAATACAATCAATATTGCTACAATTAATATTCAGAAAACAGAGAATTATGTGGGATGCAATTATTTTGTATAGAAAACATTGACCATTGTACAATCTCATGGCTTTTCAACTTCCAGCTATAATCATTTCAATGTTTGCAGTGTGAAACGAAAGCTATCATATAGAATTTGATAATTTCCACAATTTTTCAAGCAAAGTCAATTTCAAATTGCTTCTTGTTTTTTGACACAACCAATTATGTTATAATTATGTATTAGATTTTATACATCGCGTGCTATTTCTATCGTAGTACATGCTTATAATTTTATTTCATTGAACAGATTTTCTAACCTTTAGATACATTACCATTAACTGTTTTTGGAATATTAAGCGACGTTTTTTTTCAAATTTTCGTTTTTTTACACAAAATAACATCATCAAAATAGCAAGTGTACTTTTATCAGAATATAAAGTGAGCCATGTAAATTCAACATTTGACAAAAATTTAATAAACAAATACCATGAATAAGTGTATCCTTATCCTCCACAGTGACATCCTGTTCTTTTTCTTGTCTCTTAGATTTTCGTTTCTTCGGTCTGGAAAGGAACAATGAATAAAATATCGAATAAAGGGATATAAATAAAATATCAAATTTCAAGCAATAATAAAAAAGAATTATACCTTGATTTTTCACCTTTCAATACTAACTTTCCCGTCCGTACTTTCTCATATTCCGACATTTTTTAATGTTCCTTAAATTTGCTTTAAATTTTAATGCTCTTTAAACCGTGATATTTTAATTGCTGAAATATACGTATTATATTTCAGTGATTTTAACTGCACAAAAGAAATAATAAATATGCACCAGACTGCACAGAAAGGACGCAGAATGGCTGTTTACATGAGTCTTAAGCCTTGTGTCCACGATGATAGAACTCGATCCGAGTTCTCGAATCGTGAAATGTGTAGCCAATCAGCTTAGGCCGAAATCAGATTACGCATCGAATATTGAGATTGAAGATTGAAAGATTGAAATTTGACCAATCAAAACAATAGGAGCTATCAGCGGTGAGCGACGAGCGGTAGCCCAATGAGAGCCACGCTTTTGCGTGACATCATTAGTGAAGCATGGCTTTTATTGGGCTACCGCTCGCCGCTCACCGCTACGCCGCTCTGGTCTGTAGGCTCCTTTACAGTTTTTACGGAAAACCGGCAAGTTGATTGACTACACATTTTTCGATCCGAAACCTCAGATGAAAAAAGAATTGACCAATCGCATTGGTCATGTGGCCAAATTGTTAAAATGTGATTTGTTATGCGGGGTCTACAATAGAATTCGTAGCGGTCGTAAGGTCTTAAGTCGTAGAAAATTGACCAATCACAGTTGATTATTCTTCTCATATTCGACTTCTATTGTAGACCCCGCATTAATCCCGGATCTACAATAGGGTTTAAACCTTAAGCCATAAGAAATGGGCGAATCACAGTCGATTATTCCCCTCGGATTCGACTGTAATTGGTCAATTCTTACGGCTTAAGTTTTAAAACACCTATTGTAGATCCGGACTAATTCTTTCTCTTCTTGAAATTTCGGACCGATTTCTAATATCGTGGACACAAGAAGCCTGTTCTTTTTATCTGAATTCTTGTACGGTTCATCTTTTTTCTTTTTCTCTTCAACGTGGAGAGAAAAGGAAGAAAGATGAACCGTACAAAAACTTTAGCTAAAAAGATTGAGACCCTGGAAGAAATCCATGATCGTTTTTGACATCTGCGCAGAACTATATGAAATCTCGAGAACGAGTACACCTGGGTTTCTTTCACCGTGATAAGACCTACTATCTACAAAGCTTTCTAATTTCAGACGTGACACCGAGTCGTATGCACTGTGGCCTGTACAGTTTAAGGTAAAACATTTTTATAAATATCGTCTGTTTATTTATCTGTATAATTGAATTAATAATTAGAATAAACAGGTTTCATTCGAGATGGCGGAGGAAATACTGAGGGAGTTAGAAGCCGCGGCGCAAATCGTTCTGGTGAGTCGTACCATTGAATTCTCTTTTATCTCTTACAAATGAAACTTCAATATTCAAACACAAACGTCAGCGAAATAAAAGATACCATTTACAAATTCTTGCGAAATTTGCTATGTGTTAGCATACGCAGAGCCAAAATTTATCAGTAGAACACGTATTTATCATGCCGAAAAACTTTTGTTTATATTTATAAGATCCCATTTTGGGGTTAAGATCTCCATGATTCACGAGCCATATAAGATATTTCTTAAGATTCGACGATGCCATGCGTATGTCGGCACACACGCAAGGTGAGAAAAACGAGACGAAACATGATTTAAGAAACTTCCTAAAAGCAGAACAAATTATTCGAACAAACGTATAATGTTCGTGTCTTATGAGGTAAAACAAAACAAAACTGTTTCAAGTGTATTGGATTACTCTACGTGTTATGTAATTTCTAGTATTTACTGCTTCAAGGTTTGTTCTACGAAAGAGGTACTTGGCAACTGAAGCGATGTGCGATTTCAGAGCACCTCATGGCATCAATGGTCGCGTTCAGCAGACTCAACTGTTGTGGAGCGGATCCGTGAGCGCTCACTGCTATTGGTGTATTCTTTTAGATCATCCAATAGCAGCGAGAGCTCATTGATCCGCTCCGCAACAGTTGAGTCTGCTGAACGCGACCAATGTTTACATTAACCTCTCTACTGACATTCCAAAATAAATAATGAAACATGAGCTTAATGTTAACACAGTTAAAGTAAAACGTTAACAAGTTTGCATGTAGATGAATATCGATTGTGTTCATTGATACCATGATTAAACAAATTTGGTTTGTTAATATATAACTGTAGTTACAAATCAATGGGCTGGTCTCACCAACTCTGATTAATTTAATCGACTGATTAAATTTCAGAATTATCAACTGCAAAATTGAAAACATTGTACTTTTCTGTAAATTCTGATTTATTTATGTAAAATGTAATTATATATAATACTTTAAATTAATAAATAAATAATACTTTTAATTAAAATAATTAATTTTATATAATTTGTGGTATTATATGCATGCAGCAATAACAATATATTACATCACAGCTGCGAGATTTTATAGCTCCAATTTTACAGTTGGCAATTCTCAAATTTAATTGGCTGACTAATCAGAGTTAGTGAGATTGGTCCAAGGGCCAATACGAATCTGAATATGGTTGTGCCAGTAACTAATCAGATATTAAGTCTGTTTTTTTTATTCCTGTACTAGACTGCACTAGAACTCTCTTTCTTGCTTTTGCCAAATATTAAACATATACCTATCTTAGACTTTCTACAATAAACCATTATCTAAGCTTAAATCTTAAGCTGTAAGAAATTGACCAATCATAGTCGATTATTCTCATATTCAACTATGACTGGTCAATTTTTTTATGACTTAAGGGGGTATTCTGGTTTGTAAGGCTAAAAATTAGATGATTTTATATTCGGGAATTTTTTTAAAAGAAATGAATTAATATATTAATATGAAACTTTTTGAAACCTTATTTGTACAAAATAGATATTTAAAAATATTTTTTCGTGTCCATATGTATCATACAGAAAAAAGATACGCGGTGGTATACAAGACGTATGAAAAAAATTTCTTTTTGACGCGTTGACATCATTCCGTTAGTTCTAGTAGCCTGAAACAAAAAAAAACCAAAGAAATTATTAAATTGTAAGAGTTACACTATTACTGGAACTAGAATATAAGGAAAAAATCGTAAATTGTTGAAACGGTAATGTTTTGAAAAATTTTCACCCATAAATTTGTTTCGTTTTTTTTTTTATATAATAAATTGGAATAATCGTAAATTAAATTCCGTAGTTCCAGTAATAAAAGAACATATACTAAATGGACATGCAAAAATTCAAGTCGATCACTGAGAGAAAACTAAATAGTTCTAGCAACTAAATATAAATTTGGCAACTTTTGCAATTGAAGTACCTGTAACTAGTTTTACAAAGTAATAGAAATTAAAATAGTGCTGAATATCATAAAAATATAGTCACGGTAACAAATTGTATGCACTATTAATTGGTAGTGAAATAGTGACTCAACTACTTTGAGTAGTTACTTGGACTTCATGCAAATAAATATAACAATTACATTTTTCTAGTTTAGATAAAAATTTTTAAAGTGTCGCTCAGTACGAGTAGTACGCGGCTTTGTCACCAGAGGGACGTAGCGGAGTTCAGTTTCTCCTAAGAAGGAAACAACTCAGCTTACGATAAAAGGCGCAGCGTTGGTTTCAAACTTGAAAGACAAAAATAAATAAGAAATGCATACACAAATTTGTAACTATGTATTATAAAGCTTTAATAACAACAATAAGTAAATTAAGTGAACTAAGAAAATATAGTAATATTAACCATTTATAAATTGATTATATAGTTAATGTACTATATTTTCTTAGTTCACTTAATCTAGTATTCTTATTAGAATTTAATAATATGTATATAGTTGTGAGGCGCTATTTCACTACAAATTTATAGTTACTGATACGACTTTTTTCTCTGAGTGCAGACGCTTAGTTCCCGAGATATTATGTCAACGCAGTTGAAAAATGCTGTTTTGAGAAAAATGCGTTTAAAGTTTCAACTACGATTTACAAATAGATTAATTGTACTTACAGCTATCTCAGCTTAATCAGCTATTCCTGGTCCGTACAGCAATTCTTCCTCTCGTTCATAAAATTGATTTTGATCCACTGATGCCTGTAGTCGAGCAGTTCGAGCCTCTTTACTCTGTTCGGTACTCCATATCGCCGCGTGCTTTATCTGACTATCGTCTTTGAAATTGCAGAAACTCACATTGTGCACCAATAATTATACCCATCAATGTCATACATTTTTTTATAGCATAAAACCCTTCATTGAAAATGCCGACAGCTAAAAACGGTGTTATTTCAATTATTTTCGAACCGCAATGAATATGCTTTTGGGCTAGACGCCAAATCGTCGAATTGAATGATTCATTATTATTTTGCGTGTTGTCACCTAAACATTTTTCTAACAAATCCTTCGAAGATAGATCTTTGTAAATATTCTTGATGGCGGTTTGAACATCCTTATGAAGTAGTGTATCGTGATTATGTGTCCAACTTATTTTCCGCTTCCGCTCTGCGCCACTTACACCAGCTTTCAGACCCTTTTGGACGGTACATGTGTTAGGGATTTTTATTCGTAGAGCACTTATGAAAATAAGTGGCCCATATAGCATTATACATCTCAATAACAGAATTCGAATTTCTAATTATTGCTAAGCCATAGTACTGTGAAAGATCTTGTATTAGCTTTTCTATAAATTTTCCTTTTCCTCCAAGTTTCAAATGTTTTCTTATATTTCTAAGAAAATATTTGAAACTCCCTTGGTCGAGTACCCATTCGTATCTTGACATGATTTACGCACTCATTCTTTTTTACGATAAAATCATCTCCATAAGGATTTAAATCGAGAATCGCTTTAAAAAATTTCGAATCTTCATCTCCTATATATGTTGTATATCTGACACCGAATTTCTCCATTGATCTCGCAAACATTTCCATTGTTGAATCTATCTCCATTTTTCCACTAGATTCAGAATGGTTTACATTACATTTTTCTTCATGATTTAGTAACCATGTGTCATATTCATCGGTGCCATGCTTTTTTTCCCAATACTCACACGATTTGCAGTAGCTGGATTTTACTTCGAGATCGATAACTTTGCCACTAAACTTGCCTATAAGAGTTGTTACACCAAATAAGGAAGTAAAACCTCTTTTCTTCCAAGATCCATATCCAGAAACCGTTAAATTCAATAAAGGAATGCCATTTTCGCTATTCTTTTCTTTTTCTTCGTCCACCGCTTTTTTTGTTAGAAAAATTCAAACACTGTTTTTAAAGTAATGTGTAGATTTTCTAAGCAGGCACAGTACGTCCATATAATTAATCCTTGGCAAATGTCCATCATGTTACAAAACAAATATATACCGGTTCGAAACAAATATATATGGTTTGTTCCAATACCCAACAATCTCATAACAAACGCGATTCGTCTATTAATTTCGTAAGCTTTATTGTCAATTCGTGGACCGGAATGTATTGCACTTCGTCACACTTGCATATTGAAGCAATTTTAAAACCTAAGCCGCGTTCTCTTTCATTAGTTTGTTTGAAATTTACGTCTCCCTTACAACGTTTACAAATTAAAAATTGCGAAAGTGTTGAAAACGACAAATTCGATTATGCGGTAACGATGACTTTGTTTAATTAAAATTTCCTCATTTTGCGTTCTTGCTAATTTTGCGGCACTCGTACTCGCAAACTCTGTTTCCTTTTCCATAGTAAATCGATTGCTGTGAAATTTTCTTTTAATTTTTCTATCAGCACGTTTTACAGATTCATTTCTTACAGGCTGCTTTCTGTTTCGCTTATAACCTTTTAATTCGGAGTTCAAAACAGTACTGAGCAATTTTCTCTGCGTCCTAAGAACCTAAGCAGGTTCGAACAGAAATATAAAAAGAGATAGAAGTAGGCAGATTTTCCTTTGCTCGAGCAATAATAATCGGAGATCCAAACGGCGGACCAAAACTCTAGCGCGCCTAATCTCTATTTGTGGACCATTTTAGTAAACAATGAATAACTCGGTTATTTTACATTATTTCTGTGAACGGCTTTGGTAATATATTTTCAAACTATCAACTTTTCGAAAATGCAATAAAAGAAAAATTGATTTTTTTCGATCCGACAAACCAGAATACTCCCTTAAAACTTAAAGCTTAAGTAATGGCTTATTATAGAATATGTGTTTCACTTTAAGTTTCTCAAAATTGTACACTAGTTCAGCTATAAAAACAGATCCTTTGTAATATATAATAAATATACTTGGCAGCAGTTTTCAATATTGATTTTGAAAATTGATTTTGCTCTCTACACTAAGATTATCTTCAGTTATTGACTATGAACTTGTTTTTTTTTAACTGGATTTCTTGTACCATTTATTTTTTTCTCTTTTTTCCCTTCAGTATGGAGAAAAGGAAAAAATGAACCCTGCAAGAAGTTTAACTGAAAAGAACAAATTTTAGTTGATATCAATCTACCACAAAATCTACTTGAACCTGGTAGCAAATTGCTAGCACACTGCTAATTTGCTTACTAGGCAGATTTCGCAAAATATATTACAAGTTAGCTGAATACCAACAGGAATGTAATAAAATAGAATGTTCTTTTTTGTTGAATTGGTATTAACAATTGACTTGATTATTACAATTTAAAAAGTATTTTAATCTTCTTTTGATTGACGAGAAATATCATTGATACCTACATTTGGAATGCATATTAATATTAAGATTTACCAGATAATACAAAAGAAATATCCTATTTATATGTTCTATGCTATTTCTATGTTTTGGAAACTAAAGGTTGATAAATGATTTTGTATTTGCGTTGCTTTTAGGCGCCTCCGAATCTAATTTCATCAGAGCAACGTCAATCTGCGGAAACAGTATTTTTAAATTTCCGCAAAACAAAGTCACCTTATCAGCTGTGTCAGCAAATTTTAGAATTAAGCACTGTAGATTATATACTATTTGAAACAGCTGGATTGATAAAGACAGCTCTGATACAAGAGTGGTCCACTCTGTCAGAATCTGACATTTCTTCGTTGAGACAATATCTGTTACACTACGTTATAAACAAACCTACGTTAGCGCCATATGTTAGGACAAGAATACTCCAAGTTTTTGCAATAATAATTAAAAGAGGTAGCGTGGATGACTTTGGACGGGAGAGAAGTCGAATAACAGATGAAATAGAAAATTTAATTAAGAGTGGAAACTTACCAAATGTAAGTATACATTGAAGTAAGTACATTGACAAAATTGATTTCTTATTTTGTAAGGAGAAAAAAACAGAAAAAAGATTATTTTTTTGTTTGCAGCAAATTTTAGGATGCAATATTTTATCTGCGATATTGCAAGAGTATGCAACGACTGCTAAATCATCCGACATAGGTTTGACATGGGAAGTTCATCTTAAAGAGAAGAAACAGTTTGAACAAAGTGATATGAAAAAAATTTTCAAGTTTTGTGTCGAAGTATTTAGTGAATTAATCAAGAAGGATTTTGATGAATCGACATTACCTCTTGTAAAGTCTTTACTTTCTATCGTAGAAAGTATGCTTGTTTGGGGATTTATTTATGCAAATTATATCCTTTTATTATTAATACATTTAAGATCAATCTATTGATGTGTAAAAATATTATATATTAAATAGAAAGAAGACTAAAACAGAAAATTGAAAACATTACAGCTTTTATTTAATTCGTATTTCATATTTAGTATTTAAATGTGGCATCATAATGCTATACAATTTTATTCAATACTAAATGTGGGATATATATGATAAAAAAATATATATGAATATAAATATAACAGATAAATATTTGTATAGATACATTACAGTTGTTCATGTATACCTTAACTCCAGTGCACTACCTAAAAGATTATTGTACATGTGGGAAGTTCATGAATCTGGAAATAACCCACCATTGAGCATGCATACATCATGGCAAGATGTAATATTAGATCCAGCAATATTAGATTTATTTTTTACACTGTATTGGAAAGTACGCAGCAATCCGCAATTAGCTCACCATGCTATGAATTGCTTGATACAACTGGCGAGTTTACATGGTAGAATCCTAGATGGAGAACAAATAGAAGTGCGGTACCTGACAAATTACATGCAGAGATTTTTGAAGCTTGTATTAAGTATTGAAATTAGCGATCAGGAAGCAAACGGAATTACTAATATTATAAAAAAAATTAATCATTTCTTTCAAAGTTCATTAAAAAGTCTTCCTGAAGACTTATACAAGTCATTTATGGAACAAATAACAAGATTAACATGCTTATTTATAGAATGTGCTGCACAAGAAGAATCGGTAATTATTATTGTATTTTATTCAATTTGTGTCTGAATTTCGACCAAAAAAATTTTTTCGAATTCAATTTTACCTTTTCTAAAATATTTAATGAAAAAATATCTATTTGTGAAATTACAAACTATAGATATATTGTAGATATTAGATATATAACACAGAGATTTGCAGATATATATATATATATAAAACTGGAATAGAAAGATTCAATGTTTTATAATATTTGCAGATACGTGCTGATGATTGTTTATATATGGAAGCTGTGGAACATATGTTTGAAGTATGGTCGTGCATATTGTGTTCATCGTATTTTCCAGCAGATTTTTGTAAACAAAGCTCTATTCAGATATTTAATATATATCTTCGATGTCACTTATCACCTCCGGAGGGTGTTAGAAATATTGGTGGAAAAAGTCTTAGCGAGGAAGTAGCAGATGTGGAGGATAATGACAAAGTTAAATTTAAGGAGCAATTACAAATAATTGGTAAATAATAAGTGCGTTCCTTTTTGCATATGATACACATGTATTTTATCCTTGTTTAATATTCGATTTAATAAGGATGAAATGATATGTTATGCAAGAAACGGAACGTATTCAATATCAATGTATTACAATTGGCCTATTAAAATACATTTTATTACGCAGATCGATAATAATAATAATAGCAAATGCTTGATAATTATAGGAAACTTTGGTAGACAAGTACCAGATCATTCTTTACCTCTATTAGCACAATTACTCGAAGATCGAATACATAAATTGCGCGACAATCTAAATCTATTGGTCGAACAAAATGAATCGTCATCTCGACCTGCCTCTATGGATGAGTTGTACGAAGATTTGCATTGGCTTATTTTAATAACGGGGCACGTTTTTTGTATGGAATGGGAAGGTGAAATCGCATTAATACCTTTAGAAATAACGCGATGCAGTATGAAACAGGTTTGTAAAGATTCATTGCAATTTTTACTTTACTCTGGTAACGGAAGTATTAAATTTCTTTTGTATATGTTTTTTCAGTCTCGAGAAGGAAATGTTGATGTAAACCGTACACTGGAGTTTTTAGTGTCCTCGCAAAATGTCCAATCGGATATAAGTAGTCCCTCAGCCTTGATCGATCGAGTTATTCGATTAGTCACGGGCATTTTTCGTTTATGCACTATTGAGAAAACTGCCATAGCGATACATTTGGAGAATATACTCAGTCCTGAATTGAGCAGCACGATAATATGGTTTTTACACAGATGGTCAGAGATTTATCTTTTACCAAATGAGGACCATTACAACGAATTAAGTACCACGCTTTTACATGCTTTTGGTGATGACAGCCCTGGTGCATTGTGGTCAATGAATTTTCTTCTGGACAAAATAATTTGTAACATCAACGCTTTCAAAAGCGAGCCGACGCTAATAGATGAAACTATAAAGTTATTAATATCTCTTGTTAAATCGCGAGCTAGGTAAATATAACACGCAAAATATGCTTGTAATAGTCATATTAATAATTTGTTTAGGGACAACGGTATTTTTCCGTACAAATTAATAATTAATAAATTAAGTTTCGAATAGAACATGACTAGAATGGAAAATCTTCCGGAATTCACGGATTATGGATTTCGCTAAGGTTTTTGCTGGATGATATTTTGTGAAAAAAGTATGAGGCATTTGTTTTCGGGTAGGTGCTTGTATATATATCCGCTTTTCGGGCAAAAATTGATCATAAATTATTATAATTATTCATAAATTATTATAGAAACGATAAATTTATTAAATTCGAACTTATTTATGTACTAATAAAATATGTACTAATGGGAATATATACTGAAGAGTAAGATATGTATAATATATTTCATAAAATTTGTATACGTCAAACTGACAGTGTATTTTTTTATGACTGCGCAATTTCGTTCATAAAATTGGATTGAGACCAACATTTCGCGCAACTTTAAATTATTTCATTTAATATTCTATAATTTCTTAAAATTTAATGCTCTCTTAAGATTCATCTATAATTAATTAAAAATAAAATTTTATCTGCATCAATAAAATTCAACTCGAAAATTTTTTAATAATTAATGTACGATTGATCTCTCGGATTTGAGTTTAATTTGTGGTAATATAAAAGTACTTTATAAATATTTTTTCTTTCATCAATGATATAGTCTCTTGAAAAGTTTAATACAAATCTTATGAATTCTTTGTATCTTACGTATCACGTGCTTAAAAAAATTATATGGTGTATTATACATAAGGATATATCTTTTCATATTAATCTGCTTAAACATCAACGATTTTTAAAAATAAATAATTTATTTTGCCTTCCAGCTTTAAAAGGAGTTACCATAATCTCTACTATCTCGCTCTCCATTTCCACATCTAAAACTTTCTACGATTCTCTAATTTTTATATTTTTATTTTTTAAGTCATTCATTTTGCTTTTAATATATCACTCTATTTTTATTTGATACATGACTTAATTCAGAAAAATTAATATGCGTGCCCTAGACAAATTATCGTGTACTTTAACAAATGTATTACGTTTACGATTGCTTTAACAAAATAAATGTTCTTTACGATTTCGTAATTCGCGATTCTTATTCCTTTGTGATTTAATTGTGTTCGCAGAAAGTATCACGTTACATGCTACATGCTTACGTAAAATGATATATAAAGGCATTTATTGCATACAAAATATCAATTTACTGCATATTACACGAGATTATTAACGCGTTAAAGTAATCGTTGTAATAATATTTTTATTGAAATGATTTAAAATCTAAATACATATATCAATTTTTCAGAACTTCCTGCCTGTCGACATCTGAGCAGTTCAATTATATTATTGAATTAGCTACAAAAGAACAATACGATTTCCCGCAGATTATCAAAAGAGGATTAATGCGTGTGGTGGTTCATGCCGGTATCGTGTTACAAAATAGTGATCAGTACTACTGGTCGCGGATTCTACAAGCCTTGCAGAACAGATTTACACAATTAATTTCTAGTGACAATTTTATGTCGTCCCACCATGAAGAACATATTAAAATTCAAATCATAGATATACTAGAATCCTGTATAGGTACATTTATTTAAATTTGATTTGTTTAATATGATATATTTATTTAAATTTTTATGATGTACGTATATTTTGTCTGATTTAAAATAAAATTTCATGTACATAATAATCTTATTTAAATAGGTGTGGTGCTAGGTACTGAGAGTTCGATAGTAGGGCCCGTATATCAATATACTTTTCCCATATTAGCCGAACTTCCAAAAATATTATCCTTATATCATAATTATCAAGATATAGTACAGCTCATATTAGAACTTTTTAATGAATATACAAAGATTGTATTTTTATCAGACGTAAGTAATTTTTATTTATATATGTTCGTAATCGTAATTAATTTTGAAATTTTGATAGTAATCGTAATCTTGACGTATTATTTTATTGCATTATTTCAGGCTGATAGTATGCGTGTATATGAAACTTGTATGCAAATGATGCAAACGTATGCTCGCTGTAACAGTCACCGGTTTACTGTAGACTCGACTGCGGAAGAGGATAGTTTTCAGGATATTGTGTTACTCATGCGACTATTAACTAATTTATTAATTAAAGACATATTTAGTTTAAATCACGAAGCAAACCCATCAATCAGTCAACTTGCGTCTGCAGTACCGGCTGTCGAACCCGTGCCACTTACTGATGTTTTCTTATATGGCTTAAATATAATCATGCCTATGATGACAATAAATTTGTTAAAATTTCCGTCGTTATGTTTGCAGTAAGTATAATTATATCTTAATGCAATATAATAAAAAACAAAGATAAACATTTAATTTGTATAATATATTTAAAGTAGATTATATTGAAATTATATTAAAATAAGTTCTATATAGAATTTGATTTTTCGAATTTTCATTAATAGTTTATAACATATTTGAAAAATTTTTTTTAATTTATATATTTATTATAACATTTCTTATTGTGTTTGAAATAACTACTTTTTTACAGGTATTTTAAAATGATATCGTTTGTATGTGATATGTGTCCTGAGAAAGTTTGCGGCCTCTCTGTTAAACTGTTGCAACAACTTTTAGCGTCAGTGGAATTAGGTTTATATTCATTCGGCAATGAGGTAGCTGGCCTTTGCTGTGATACAATTCAAGTCTTAACCAAACATATTAAGAAAGAAGTTACGCAAGGACAGCCGCGCAAAGACATAATGGCACCTTTTCTGAATGTAAGCTCTTACAAATGATTGAAGCATATAATGTGCCTTTTAGGATATTCAGCAAATTCTAAAATATTGAATTTCTCTTTTCAGTTATTAATAAGTCTCGTTCTGTCACATCAAATGGATTCAGATCTGATCACACACGCCAGTCTGCCTCTTTACTATCTCATATGTTGCTATCAAGAACAATATCAGCAACTTATACAGAATATTGTATCTACTCAAACGGATCTACAAGTGGCGCAAAGATTAGCGAATGCATTCACTGCACTGACTGCAAATGTAGATGTAAATATAGACTTAAATGACCGTCCTCAAAGATTGAGGTTTAAAGAAAATTTCGAAAAATTTGTCGTGAACGTACAAGGATTCTTAATGGTTAAGTAAAATATAAATTAATATGTAAATAAACAAAAATAAAAGATTTATTTAAACAATATACGCGTGGACTTAGATCTTGTTGGAAAGTTAGATTTTCATTATATTGTATAGTTAGTTTTACGCTTAGATTTTTTAAAAATAAGTAATGAGATGTATGTGTGTAAAAGAATTAAATTAGTTTATCTTCACTTTAATCGGTGTAAATAAACGCGATTAATCGTAAAATATATGATGAAAGCTTTAACACGTGGATATTATTTTAAAAAGAACTTATTAAGCATATAAGCTTTTTATTGACCGATTTATTACACGTTACCACTTACAGTGAGCCTAGCGAAATATTCGAGTAACCATAATATAATATTTATAATAAATACTAGTTACAGCGTCGATGCACGTTTCCGATAGCAAACGGTCAAACGAAAACGCTTTATAACGGATGTCCAGTTACCTTACAAACAAATACATGAACTTATATAACTTGGTACAGGTCGCATCGCCGTTAGCCTTTCTATCATTGTGTCACTCGCCTCGCGGTGATCGACAATGTTTCAGGAATGCTTATTAAAGTATAACATTAAATTTATTTATATATTTATATAATTTATACTTTGTATTATGTATATATATAAGCGAACGTGTCCTCTCGTGCTCTCTCACATACTTTCTCTCTTTCACGCGTTTCCACTCGGATTCTCTCTCTCTATCGCTTTCTCTTCCTCTCTTTCTGTCTTTCAGCCTCTCATACACGCTCTCATTCTCACCGTGTCCGTTCTCTTCTCTCCTATATTTCATCTACTAATAATAACAATGATTATTAATCTCTCCAACGACTTAAATGCGATGTAAATTTCTCTCGTAATATACGCGTTTCTTTTTTCATTGTTTTCTTCCTTCCTTTTCTCACATCTCTTCCTCGTCGTATATACCACATCTTGTCCTGCGACATAGTCGATAGAGAGCCTAAAGTTCAACTTATATATTTATGCATTTATTTTTCGATATATCATATGGTGGTGTGTCGTTAACAAAATAAAACTATAAGATACTACAACAGTCAGCAAGCGAAAATGGATAATCGGTGATGGGGCATTTACACTCGTGTGAAGCCGCGATCGAAGAAAGACAAAAGAAAGGATATAATCGGCCTCAGGATCGAACGCACAAAGCGTTTTTGTGACTAGAATCAAGCGAGTTCAGGATCGTCTTCCGTCCAATTCCGATATCGACATTCACGTCGGAGACTATTCCCCCAGACAATCTTGTTCCTCGAGAAATGTCAAGGTACACGAAATCGATAGACCACTTCGATGGAAGGGTAACATTTAAAAAAATGTTTGCACTTGCGAAAGGAGCTCGGACAAGGTTTCCTACTGAAAGAACAATAACTAAGGAATATAACGATACGACGCCGGTAACACTTGAGCGATAAGAGTATTACGTACGTAGAACTTATACCGAATTGTAGACGCGCTCCCAAGCACTCAGAATGTAAAGAAGCAATACAGATCCTAATATATATAATTATAAAAATGTGTGTACATGCATACCTTCGACTGTACAATGGGTGTTTACTCAGTAAGCAACATGTTAGCGGCATGCTAACAGTTTGCCAGCAGATTCTGCGGCAGATTGATATCAATTGCATCCGTATTAAGCTCGTAATCTGCCCAGTAGAGCTTTTGTTATCTGATAGCAGATTGTTAGCAGAGAAAGTAAAATTTATCATTTCATAGCGATTAAAGTGGAATGTTAGTCAAATAATTACGAAAGAACAGATTCTACTCTATTTTTGCAGTTAATCTGTTATCAGATTCCATTATTGAACGCGAGTGTGGCATGTGGCAAACAGCGCACTGGTCTAACATGTCAGAGATTCCGGGTTCGATCCTGGTAGGAATCAAAATGTTTACGCTTTTCTTGGAACGTGTCTCCTCTCGGAAAAGGGTGATAACCTCCCGAGAATATTCTTGCTTACAGAAACACTTCTCAAAAAATCCGCCGATATTATATTAAAACTCCCATATGCTTATGGCAATTGAATAATCAGTGTGCTCACCACAAGCATATGAGAGAGGTGTAACACAGGCCGGAGGCCTAACGTAAGAGGAAGAAGATTCTATTATTGCTGACATTCTATTAACAAAATTGGTAACGGATACTTTGCAAAGTCTGTTTAGTAAGCAAAATTCGCGCACGTGCTCTTAGTGCCTCTTAGCATAGAGACACTACCGTGTCTTCTGATGTTAGTTTGTCAGCAGATTCGAGTTTTTTTTGATTGGCATCAATTGCATTCGTATGAAACTCGTGATCTGCCAACAGAGTCTATCGACATAATCTAATAGCACATAGAGCCCCAGCAAAAATTAAACAAAATCTGTTATACATTTTAACAATTTAATTTGAATATATCATTTAAATAATTACAAAATTCTGCTCAGTTTTTGCAGTTAATCTTTCGTTATATTCTATTAGCAGATTTCATTATATTTTTGCTGGCATTTTGTCAAGAGAATTGGTAGCAGACACTTTACAAAATTTTTTTTCAGACATTGACTATCTGGGCAATAGGAAATGTATTCGACGGCACGGGATGGAAACAAACAAATTAGGTTTCTGCTGTGCGTGAAATGTCTCAGTATTACATGTCGATCGTCATGAAATGCTATTATATACGTAATACCTATCAAGAGAATGAGTCCTTCTTTGACTACATCTCGGACACCACAGTCGCGTGAGTTAATATCAAAGATGTTAAAAGTTTTCCATGTAAGCTGCATGGTAGACACATGTATTTATAATGCCGTATCTTTTATCTAAAATCTGTTATACGTAAGAGAAGTTAGTGAAAGCCTCGGAACGATGCAATCGTTCATGATCTTGCGAGGAAATTATCAATTCGGATTGTTGAGCTTTAAAGGGATTTTCGCTCATCTCTTTAAGTTCTCTAGAAAAGAAAGAAACTGGAGAATCTCAGATCATTCTGTTTTTGAAAAAAATTAGATCGAATGATTGAATTTTTTCTGTAGCAACTTTAATTATAAATTCACTTTTTTAAAAACAAATTTTATCGTCATATATAATTCTAATTTTATTCATTACGTTCAAGCTACAAGTGAATTAACATTTGTTAATCCAAAATTGAATATTTTCTCGTTAGAGTAAGTTCGTCGACGCGCATTCGTCGCAAATACGTCCGAGGATGTGCGTGCCACATTACGTGGCAAATGTGTTTAAGGAGCACTGCTTAAATTCTAAGTAGACATGAAAACACGATGTATCAGAGTGTGATCTATATCCACAGATTAACGTAATTTTATCTATTTCGCATGCTGCGAGATACGAAGTGCGAAAATTCCAGCTTTGTTCTAGCTTCGTATCGTGGGTCTCGGTCGATTACAAATAGAAAATTTCTTATGACATTTGAATTTCTTATAACAGTGCCGCTTGCTTGCCGACTACGCGTATTTATTCGTATTTCGAAGAAGTTTTTCCAGTAATATTATTTCTCTGCTTATTGGAACATTAATTTTCTTTATGTGGAATCTCGCAACGACAATTTAAGACTTCGTATGATTCGCATAAAAAAATTTAAGATTTTGTATGATTCTCAAAATTTTCATCTCAAAATAAAAATAGGAAAAATATTTTTAGAACATATTTTTAAATGTATGCAACATTGCAACATAATGATTGAAGAAAAAAATTTAAATACAATTATACTCTCTCTTATAATTCCACATTAAAATTGCAAGAGTTTCATAAATTATCGTTGCAAGATTTCTACATTATTTTTAGACAAAGATTCTTAGAAACAGAGAGTTATAAGTGCTTAGTTATTGCTCGTATAGTCGATCTGTTCTTAAGAACTTTTGTTCCTTGCTTTTAAACTCTTTAACCCATTTGTATAATCAAAACAGTAGCTGTTAAGTACTAAAATATGACAGAAAATTTGCAAATATCTTAAGATATATAGAAGAGGATATAAAAATTATTTTATATCGAGGATAAATTATTCAATGCGAATAAATGTTTAAAATTACGTTAAAAGAAAGTATTCTACGAATTTTATGCTTCAAGAAGTAACGATTCTCTTCTTCCTTCCTACTTCATTGTAGTTTTTACATCTTAAATAATATTCGAATCTTTTTTTCATTCTAATACAAAGTTAGCGTTGTTGCTTTGGAGCAATGCTATCTTATTTTACAGTACGCGCGCGTTGCAACTAAAATTATTTGAATCTTTAATTAAGAAGGTAAAATCTTCATCGAGCGACGGCCGATCGATTGCGTGTACAACAACATATCCGATCTTTCATACGTACTTAAATCGGATAGCCAGTATCGATATATGTATCTAATTTGTTTGATCGAGTAAAAGGAAACGATTATTGAAAGAAATGGAAATGTAATCCTCATAGAAAATCGTCTTTACTCTTTAAACGATCGTTACGATACTAAAATGTTAAAATGCTTAGATAGAAAACTATCTTGAACGAATCTTATCAATTTGCCTGAATCAGTTTACAAAATGTTGCTCTTTTTTTTCTCCGTCATAATTTTTCGCATACTAAGCGATCGTTAAGCTTGCGTATGAAATTATTAATATCTTCTTATCTCTCGTTTATTTCGTTTTCTCTCTTTCTTTCTCTCCCTCTCTTTCTCACTCTCTTGCATACTTTTTCTTCTACATATATCTATAACGTGTATTCCTTATCCCGATTTTCAGTGATCGTCTTAGGAATATATTATTAGGCATAAATGCATCTTCTATCTTCCTCACATGTTGCGTACGTAAGAGGTATCGCGTAGTTACACGTTGATATACGCGTCACGGAAATAAAAATTCAACGAAAACATTCGCGCGCGATCTCGTCTCGTCGACGTGGAGAGCACTTCGAATGCGAATTCGAAATGTACGGAGAGACTCAAAAACGAACATTTTTTTTCCCAACACAGTGTAACCGAATGCATTTGTACGCGCATTTGTAACTTCTTCGAAAGACGAGCACCATCTTCTTTTTCTTTTCTCCTTTCTTCCTCATTCTGACTGCCCTATAATGTGCTAAGGGGACGCTGTGTAAAGTAAAACGTCGATATTAATATGCCGCCGATCGTGGATAGTCTCAAGGGACAGCTTCGCCTCCGCTTAGTCAATCAAAGACTAGCGGGAATCGAAAGTTGCAAAAGTCTTGGGACTCTAAGGCCGAGTGTGACCAACACAGCATTTTCTCCGACGCCTTTGCTATTGCACTCGTTACCCCGGCCATAGTGTCGACCACTCACTTGGTCTGATTGTTCTCCAGTTGTGGTGTCATGCCAATCGGCGCGCCATTGCTTAAATTCGGGGCAGCCGGACCTTTACGAGCAAGCTTCGATCTACGATAGTATTAAGTATTTTACCTATTGTTTCTATAATTTGCATGTATAAGATAATAATGTATAGTTAATTGGAGTCTTCATGATTTATATTAAGATAAACGGAGCGAAATTAATTCATGCTATTATACATGCCTAATTTGACCAGCTAGAAGAGGATTAATCGCATACAACCAGTCGTAGACCTCCTTATCACCTAAAGTCTGCAGCAAATATCCTCTGTGCTTGGTGACGACACTGCATAGACAAACATTTTAGTATATGTTGCACAATCACATCTGTACTTCCTTATTCACAACAATTTACCTGAAAGTATTCGGTACTTTCACCATGGCCAGCTGATCCTCAGAATATTCGACTTGAGCCGTAGCCAAATTAATTAATGCCCTTTCGACGGGATCTTTCTCCTCTCGGAAAATAAGAACATACGGTCGGCGAACAGCCTGAAATGATAAAGAAGAAACGCGCGAATATAAAATCTCTTTATATTAAGATCAATAATTTTAGAGTAAGAATAAATATTATCACATAATATGACTTGAAAATAATTTAACTATACTTAAGCATTGCTATCTCTTTTTTTAAATTAGATAACGTAAATTTAACGGTAAAGGACATACCACCCAGCGTTTCTTCCAGCCATTGGTTTTGTGCTCGAGAACGTTCAGATAGCCTTTCCGCGCGATTACCGGACTTATACGTATTTCCTCCACCTCTGGTACATACAATACCAGGTTCTCCTTCGATGGCGAGGATGATCCAAGCGGCGACGGCGCGACAGTACAAGTCTGATTAGCCGACTCGCTTGCCAATATACTCTCCTGAAGTTCTTGCAGTCTAGCCCTTTCCGGCGAACTCAACCTAAGGAGGCACGACTTAGACTTGCTCCATACTATTATACCAGCAGCCTGCAAGTAACACTCCAGCATAACCCCGACCATGAGCCAATCATGCTGGCGGTTGTCTCGGCACTTAAGTCTTAAATGCCACATTTTGAAAACGAACGAATGCGGAAGCAGATGTCTCGAAAGCTAAAGCCCATGGCACATACAAAAACGTAAGGCCGTAATACGTAAGCAGTAAAGAAATCGTAAGATTGGATTCGCTACTGGCCTTACGGTCTCTATCGTGATTGACCAATTCGCTTACTGATTATGTCTTACGGTCTTACGTTTTTGTATGTGCCATGGGCTTAAATCGATTTGAAAAAACATAATATTTGAGAAAGCGCGATAATACGTGGTGAGCCAAGCTGAAAAAAAATACGTGAATCGACCGCCGCTTTACACGACAATAAGTAAACAATGAGGTCAAACACCGTTTTTCGAATCGTTTCGAAGCATTCGGTGTCTTCATCCATGTCTCATTTCGTATGTATCGGAATGTAACAAAATTGTATAGCATATTAAGAGTACTCGGTAATGAATGAACCGAGATTTTTCGGATATTGAATTGGTTTTTTGGAGATGAACGTAATAATATGACAAAGCAAAGCATGGACAACCGTTACTAGCAAGAGTACTCAGGGGCATGCAGAGAGGGTTACCTGCTCTAAAAAATCGCTAGCTTTCGCATATACTGACTCTTGAGATGAAGACGATATGACAGAGGACATCATAGACGCGGATAAATCGGTTATGGTGTCTTCCCCTGGCGAAACATCGGATAGTAATATCGGTTCCTTGCTCGGGATTCTTCCTTGGATGAGTTTAATGTACTTAGTCGTTAATTCACGCTCTCTTTCAGTCATTTCCCAGGGTTCGTAAACGTCTTTACTCGTCGAACGTTTCAGTTTTACCGGGCTGGCATGTGGCTCGTTTGTGGCTTTTGCCACCATATTACACACGTCCTGTATCAGATTAAGATTATTATATACAATTCTATGTTATTTAATAATATAAAATACCTTTTCGCTCTTCGTAAAATCGTGCAGAGGCTTATTGCAGAATGGTACTTTGTCAATGCCAAGCTTCTCCCGCAACAATAATGTATGTCGCACTCTCTCCACTTCCTCCAACCTTGTCAATTTCTCGAGCTCCCACTGATGATCGAATATGAGACTGTCTCCACGCGGTCTCCATCCGTGAAGGTTCTCTTCACCCCGGACGTATGTGGAGCTCGTATCCAAGACGCGACGTTGACGTCTTTGAACTCCTATAAATATATAGGGAGGAAAAATGGATGGGTAACAAGAAACAGGAAAAAGTCAAAAATATAAATAAATATAAAACCATTATTGTTTATTGAATATTAATTGAAGAAATCTGTTTTACTGAGAAATAGTGCAGTGAAACAGTATTAATTGTCTTTTTTATATTAAGATTGTCTTTATATTAAAATTGTCTTTTTTATATTAAGATTAATATTTTAGAGTCAGAATAACCAACATTATCATAATATACAATTTTAAAATAATCCAATTATATTTAACTATTGCTTCCTTTCCTTTTTTTCAAATTAAGAACGATATTTTGATGTTGATAGTTTTAAGTATATATAAAGTTTTAAGTATAAAAGAGATATGTCGCAGATGGAATAATATAGTCAGAAAGATAATAGACAGAAAAGTGAGACGTTTATTCCATTTAAATGTGATATTAAGTAGAACACGGGACTACGCTATGGTTAGACATAACAAACCTGGGCTACCTGCTTCCGAAGAACGACGTAACACCAGTTCGTAGACGCCACTGAGTCGATTCGCTTCCTGGTTGCGATAGCTGCCACTAAATAGGTGCTTGAGTGAGCGTGGCCCTACTCTTGCGTCTCTCCCGTAGATGATCATGCTTAAATCTTTCGTGATAATCGCAGGTCTTCCACAATTCTCCAACTAAAACCGATATAAGTGAAAAGAATAAGCCTCCTGAAATGTTCCCACAAACCATCAAAATATCTAATACGTACCTCAAGATACGCGGAGATGGTCATGAAGATTTGTTCTCCGTAGGACGTGACTCGATTGAGCAGAGCCGAGTTGTGCAGAGAGCTGTCCCAGGCTGCTTCGAATCTGAACATGGTTCGATCGTCGCCAGGAATTTCGAGATACTCGCCCGGGAACAAACCCAGTGAAAGCACAGATGAGTCATTATCCTCTTCCTCGGGTTCCGGGGTATTTCGTATGCGGCCAACCACAAGTTCGCGTACGTCTTTCCATCTCAATTCGGAAGCCGGCTCGTGCACAATGGTGATTCGTATACGTCGCTGTATGCCTTGATGGAGCAGGAATAGTCCACGACATGGTAGATCGTCGCTATGGTCCACTACTGAAGGTACGTATTCGCCGTTCGGTGCCAATTCGCAGATCTCGAACCACACCAATACATCGTATTTGGCGTGCACATGCGAAGTGCTGGGAGACGGCAGAACACTCCCGAATTTCGGCGAACGAACTGGCTGGCTGATCGGTATGGATGGCGGTAGCATCCTCTTCGGTGGCTGTCGTACGCTGCTATGTGAATACGAATGTGATTATGAAATTTTCTTAAGCAAAATCTAAAAGAACTAGCATTCATGAATAACACTCACTATTCCAGTTTCGCATCTTTGTGCAACGGATGTTGCTGATAATGACCAAACACTTCAAAGACAATAGGTTGAGTCTTCAGATATTCTAAGAAGGATTTGGTAACCGTGACTGTAATCTGTATTAATCAAGAGATATTATTGATTAGCAGGCTTTAACTTTGACAAAACTTTAGACCTGAGATATATTCTCTTTATATTCAACTCACGTTTTGTACGTGATAAAATCCAGGTGGATTACCCTTGCCCGTGTTCTTTACCGGCTCTGTCGAAAAAGCTTCATCATGTCGATGTAGGAAGCTATAAAAGTAATTACTTTGCAGGTCATATGTTACATGTTAAAACAAGCCGAAACAGACAGACACTTACTTGAACTGACAGAAAATGTCAGCGTACTCCGTGGAAATACCCATAGCTTGTAGGACCGTTACCCTGAAAGTGAATTCTGCACCGGGTTGCAAGTGATCCGGCAACTCTTCCTCCTTCATATCGCTCGAGACTGAGCTATCACCTCTGCCGCTGTCGGCATCTCCTATATCATCCTCATCTTTCATATCCTTCTGATTAATCTCGTTATGCCCTTCGACCACGCGGTCCTCGTGCAGCATAATCTGTCGATTCTTCTCTAGAGTTTGAGCCAGGAGCGAGTTGCGTTTATTATGCTTATGTCCGCCAAACAAGTCGTCCTCAAAGGAGATTCGGGCTGATTGTCTGACGCCACTTGAGTATTCACTGTTTTCCTCTTCTAGAAGAAGGGTTCGTTATGTACATCTTATATATACGAGAGAAATGTGAAATGTAGATACGCTACGCACCAACTACGGCTTGTACAGCGACTCGCAAGTAACCCTTAACGTCGCCCTTCTCGTTTACGATAGCCACTTTGTGGATCAGTGGTACCGGATACATGAGATTGCTCAGATATACGAAAGCTCTGAAAAATTTTACATCAGATTAACATAATAATAAAAGGCAAAAAGAGAAGAAAAAACCAGGAAGATCGTGGTGGTATTTAAATTCGTTCGTTTACCTGCCGACCATGCGGAACCACGGAAATCGATCGTAAAATGGATCGCCTCCCGTAATAGATTCGATATTGAAGTCCGGAGACGTCGGTGAGAGCTCGGCCTCATTGTGATACATTTCGCGCATCAGCTCTAGCCTTTGCCTGGAAAGCAGACGAAATTATCGTTTACTGCTATTTCCAATAGCAAGAAGTTATGCGAATGCAATCGTAACTCGTGTGTTAAGTCGTCCAAGTGTGTTTTAATTTGTCTAAAATTTCTTCGTGTAGATTTCTCTCATCGGATATTTGGTATTCAACATTTTTTACCTTTTACCTATATGTGTTTAGCAGAAAATTATATGTGTATATACATATATATATAAAATTATATATAATATGAAATTATATATATGTATATATAATATTTTCATGGGGTTATGAGTTTAAGCAACCTTTTCCATCAAAAAATTTTGTTTCATAATAAGGGCAAATGTTATTTATATAATATTTGCAAGCAAGCGCTATGTAATAATTTATAAAAAAATATTGAAATATAATATATATATATATATATTTGTTATGAAACCTGAAATTTCGAGTCTTCCCTTTACGTGTTTAATATTTCTTTTTTCTTCATCACTTTCTTGATCGAGCTGATTATATGTACGTGCATGACAAAGTTGGAAAGCGAAATAGTGAGGACACGAGCTCAGCAGGAGATAATTATAGAAGATGTGTCGGTGTTGAGATAGACGTGCACAGAATGCGACGAGACGCTTTTCTTAACATTCAGACAGTAATAGAGATGTTCACAGCAGCGGAAGCGGTGCTGCGTAAACGATGGCATAACTTTTGGCGAGCCGAGGGCTCGTACTCATTCCAATCCGCTTTGTGTCGTTTGCGCTACAAATCTATCAAAAGAAACCATGCAGATTCAACTGATAAGTTTCGCGAATTCAAAGTGCAAAGCCCGTTTCGTTTGTATCCGCGCCGGAGGGCACAACGTTACCATATACCGAGAAAAGCCTCTCAAGACAGACAGAGCAAAAAACGACAAAACGCATGGCGGTGAAAACGGACTTTTGCGCCAGCGATAAGGGGATTCTTCGAAGGCCGAGGGCGTTTAAAGCGTATTACATGGCGAAGAGGAGAGCCTCGCGTATTCGAGCACCAACCTCGAAGGCAAAAGATTTGCGAGCGAGAACTTCGGATTAGAGTAGACCGTAAGACATTGGAAAATATCCTCTTTGGCCTCCGGAGTGCTGGGGCTCGAGTCCTCGTTGTACACATGTCGCATCAACTCCAAGCGCTGTCTACAAGTCATACATGTCATTACTTCGCGTGAGTGGGCCGTGCGATCCCTTTAAGCCGAATGCGGACCGAGTCTTACTTTAGTATAAGCTGCGAATTCGCTCTCGCTCAATTAGCGAAAAAAGGCCCGAGACTCAAAATTCAACTCGTATGATCTTAATCATCGTGCAATGCCCAGCGCGCGCAGAAGAATTTTTGATCGTCTCGCGTCTGCATATTGTTATAAAAATGTTTAGTTTTCGTATTACTTTTGACGCGAGTCGATAATCTTCATAGTTTTCATTGAGCGCGCGAGAAGTGCATTCGTGCGACGATAACGAAAACAAAAAAGAAATCGTCGAACGTTGCATGAGAAAAAGATCTTGTTTTATAATGAGGAATTAAAATACAATTGTAGAGAACATGCTATATATGAATGTATAAATTTGGTGATTTAATGCCATTGTAATTTAGTTAGAAAATTACTTCATAGAGTATTGTTAATTTTGTCGATAAATTTTGATGATTATCAATAAAAATTACTTCTTAGCGGCAAAATATATTTTATCTGTACCAGCACGAATGCTCTGTTAATTAAACAAGAGCCATCGTAAAATGTAAAATAGAGCAATAAAGCAAACCTTAGCTTGTCCAAGGTCCAGTAATGCGTAGCACCATTTTTTATATCTTGAACTTCTACGGCGACGATCGTGCGTGGGAATGGTCTTTCATCTTCTTCTTCTTCATCCATAATGGGCAAGAGATCCAGAGGTAAGGGCGAATAAAGAGTGTCCGTGAGTAAGGTAAATTGGAATTGAACCTAGAAAAGAAAATTAATGTTATAAAACCCATTATACAACGGAAATATTTTTCCTTGGTTTTTTTTAATTTAACATATTTAACAGATACCATTTTTGTGTAAATTTTCTTTGTGCAATATTAAATTCTACAAATGACTATCATTACATTCGAAAAAGCACATATGCGTAGATTATGCGAAGATCATACGGATAAACGTAATTCACATCGTTATTAACATTAAAAGAAGTTCAAAGTTTATATTCGAAAGTATACGGGAACAGAGGTGCAGAGGTAATAAACGCCAGTGAAAGAAAGCCAAGAATTTTCCGTCGTACATCCGCGACTATACCTTCTTTTTTAGTTCAACGGATATAGCATTAGCCTCTTTAAGGAATATCGCGTTGCCCCAAAGATCGTCCCGTAAACTCGTGAATTGATGATATTTCCACTTGCGGAAGGCCCAAGCGGCCAGTTGAAACTCTCTCTCGGTCCAGTTGCTCTCTGCGTCAAACAATGGGTTGACTGAAATGCAAGCCATTACGAGGCAAAACAGTCAGAGAAGCCAAGCGTTTGATGAAATAATACCAGTTACTTTATTAACACTTTGACTGCCATATCATTCATATATTTGGATAACGTATAAAATTTGCAAAATCTTGTTATTCATTTACGAGCGGCAATTTTATTTACCTGATTTAAGAATTATTTCACTAAGTATTTAAAGCATTAAAGAAATAATATAAAGTATTTAAAAAACTATTTTCGATCAAAGCGAGTCTTATAAGTACTTGGTAACATTCATATGTGAATATATAAATACAATTCTCTCTTATTTGTGTTTAAACACTTCTCGGTCTATTTAATTTAATATTGTAATATAAATTATATTAAGACACAAAAAACAACAAACTATTAAAGAAATATACTTATTTATTAAGCTCAGCTTAATGCTGAATCAGCTTATCAATCGAAGTGTCATATTTCGAATGTGCTATGTCTCATCGACAACATAAGGCCTTGTAGCATGCAGTAAACTTTCAATGGTGTGAAAGACATTTGTGTAAGTCTGAAGAGTTACGTGGAAGTAGGACAATGCCCAGTCGATCAGGCATAGCTATACCAAAATATATTAAGACTCGAAAGCGATATTTTTCCACACTCACCGAAAATATCTTCCTCGATGTTGTTGAAGTCTTCTGGCGTATAACTGCTATACATAGACATTGTCATACTTTGTTCTTCCACTTGCCTCTGTAGCGCATCTATCCGTGCTTCATAGCTCTATTCACAGAAACAATCAATTGTCACAATTAAACGACGTATTAAAAAGATATGATGTATGTATTCGTATTATATTATCGTACTTTTCGCTGCTCTTCAAACAATTGATCAGCTTCCTCCTTCTCTTTACGGAACTGTTCCTCCAGTACAAGTAGTCTCTTTTCCATTTCAACCTTTAAATCGATTCCCTGTTTTTCTAATAACTCGACCTGTGCGAAATTCCAGTCCGCTAATGGTTCGTTATTGCCGGGAGTTTCTGCCGGAGAGCCGTTCGCTATCCGTTCACGTACTGCAAATTATACACGAAGATGTAATATTTTATTCATACATTTCAGTAAATGTTTATAATTCATGAACAAATAAATCCGAGTATTACATACCTTGGTCTGGGTGATTAAATCGGAAAACATGGCTTTTTCCCAAGATGACACGTGAGCCAGTCGTTAGGATAAGTGGCTCGGTTACTTCGCGACCATTGATATAAATCAAGGCTCCGTTCTTCGGTATGAGAGTTATAATCCCCTCGTGGTTCTCGAAAACGCAGTGCTCCCTAAGTATGTGTGGACCACACAGCTGGATATCCTGAGGTACGTGCGCCTCAGCACTACCAATACGTGTGAATCCATCCTTGATGTAATAGATCAGACATTCTGACATGAGAGGATCCTCATTCAGATTTACCAAGTGCGGTGTCTTCTTAGGAGAGAAGACGCCCACTGTGACTCCATCCTCTTTCACAGCAACTCCCATTTCAGCGAAAACTGCCTCGCGTTGCAAGCGAATCGATTCGGTTCGTTTCAGCTTCTCTTCCCATGTTTCGTTCAGTTCTAAAACAAAAGTAGAATCAAATAAAAAGAATACCTACTATACGGATACTTGTTAATTTTTGCGCTGTGTATTTAAAATTGATTATCAATGAGATAAGAATAGAAAAGACTATCAGAATAATCGCAGTTTGCAATTACGTACCTGCGATTAATTTTTCAGACGCTTGCAACTGTTCAACCGCCTCTTCGGCAATGGTGGATGTAGTATGAGAAGAAATTCTTGGTCGAGTTTCCTTGGTGTCTTCTTCGTTTCGCTTGTTCGTTCTAATAATTTCATCCCCTGCAAAATGAGGACCATTAGGAGTCAAGAAAACGGCGGTTGTAATATTTAAAATAGCAAGCCTGCGTCAGAGTCGGTATCGTGAGTCGTATAAACATCAAAAGCCATAATTAAAGCAGTGGCGTAGATGAAGAGAAGTATTTCAGAAGCTGTAAAGTTTGTATTGTTGCTATATAATATTCATTCTAAAAACGTAGAAACATAACTAGTGGACTGATACTTTTTTACAGAGCACCGGCATGCTCTAATGAATATAAGCATGATCTAATCGCCGTTTGATATCTATTATATGCACTTTCGATTATAAATTCAATTAACTTGGCATCCTCATTGTGTCACACATTTTCTCTCTTTCATAAATGTAATATTTTATTTTTAAAATATATTTTTACTTTTATAAATAGAAGTATAATCAATTATATTAATCTAGATTTAAATTCATATAAATTTTAAAAATTGTGAAAAAAGTTGCTAATTGTATGAAATATGAGAGGGGAGCGCAATCAATAGACATTAACAAGACAAATACATACAGTAAATGATGAAAAGGAAATTCGCGAAGCAAACGTACAAAAATTAAGAAGATCGACATATATCAATGACAAGTATTATGCGCTTAGCGATGAAATAAGAGCGCATAAACAAAATAAAACAATAAAATATCTACGAAAGAGGCGCAAGAAATGCCAATCTTGGCTGTATTTTTTGCTTGCAATGGATTGTTAACATTTTTACTTACTAGGTTCTTTCTTTTCGTATGTAACTTTACCATCTGGCCCTACGTCGAGCGCAAGGAAAACAAAGAGAAGAATACTATGTGAATGGATTGCCTGTCGCGCGCTGTGCAATTGCAATTAGTTTATAGCAGCCAAGAATTCACGTTTGCGACACGTGCATTCAGCATTGTGATTCTCTGAATAATTTCTGTTATAATCTATGCAATTATTACCATTAAATTAGTCAACAATTGGCATAATAGATAATGAGTTATATTTATGACGAATAGCACTTCAATATTCTGCATATTTCGCGAATTTAAATAGACGATTTTAATTTAAGATTTATTTATATTTAATTATTATTCAATTTAACATATCTATATATAGTCTGTCCTCGTCTGTATATGCTTTCCATAATAAAAAGTCCTCTAATTCGATTTAATGTAATGATTTCTAATAATTTTCTAAAAATGCCTTTGCAATTTACCTTCTTGTACGTCGATGCCCTCTTGCTTTAAAAGTTCGCGTAATTTCTGTATCTCTTCCTTAAGTTCTCTGATAAGTCTGGCATTCGCGTCCTCGTTGACCACGGCTTTGCAGACAATTTGTTTCGCTCTGTCCGCATATCTGCGAATAAAACGTAAGCCTGTTAGCATTAATTAAACGCTTAATTAATTAATTCAAATGTCAAGAAATAGTTCGAAAAATATATAGTAAATAATAAATCTTACCGTAAAGTTGAAAGCGTCTCATCGTAATTGATGTCGGCAGGACTAACTGCTGCAATCATAGCAGTTTTCGAATTTCCGCCCAAGTTCTCCCGCAACAACCATGTTAAAACGGAGTCTCTGTATGGTATAAAATCGGCTTTCTTCTTCTTTTTTGTTGCCTATAGAGAAACACAAATTTGTCGATAATCATTATCGATGCTTTCCATTTGGCGACACAAATCGACACAAGTATCTTTCTATCTTTATTATTCTCTGAATGTCAAGAAAAATAGAATATTTTTGTCGACTTGTGTCACTAAATGGAAAGCACCAAATATGTTACATAAAATACTACAATTAAATATATTATTTTAACGTGCAATACTTATTATAATTAAATATATTCTTTGAATTATAGTATTAGTTTTAATGAACTTACCGCCTGACAATCCAAAGCAGCAAACAAGTCAAATAATGACATAAATATAATAATTAATATAAAATAAATTCAATACTTAATGTAACACACAGATTTGAGTAAAGTATGATACTTACAATTTCGGCCAGGGCACTGATAACCTTCCCGAGAGTCGTCAGACTCTTATTAATGTTGGCTCCTTCTTTCAATCGTGTCCCTTTTGCACCCGTTGAATCAGCTCTCTCGGATCCGGCTAAATCGACCAGCGATATTTTGCTAACTTTTTCCGTCATCAAACCAGTGATACTATCCTGTTGTTGTTGTGTAAAGAATATCGTGAAAACTGCGTGCGATCTGCTAGATGTTTCATTCATGTTGGTTGCTGCGACAGTCCTAGAATATATTTTCAATAACACGTATTGTATACAATGCTATAAAAATTTTTGCAAAATTTTAGTTACAAAGCATGAAACCAACCTGGCTTTGTTACCTTCGTCTATGAGATCATGAATGTCTTCATATGATAATACAGCTAACTTGGAAAGATCTTCGACGTAAGGTCCGTAAAGAGGGTGTTCCCTTACTCGAAGATTTCCCCTATTTTTCGGATTTAACAAATCGCGCACCCTCTCGCAATAGATTTCCATATAACTCACTTCTACCGAGTATTTCAATCGCTCATTAGATGTGTAACTGATTTTCCTAAACAGATCCTTGCAAATCTGTGGTATTATCCCTTCCTGCCCTTCTTCTTGCTTGCCCATCATAGTGTAAGATTTACCGGCGCCAGTTTGACCGTATGCAAAAATGCAAACGTTATAGCCTGTATCGCAAAATAAAATAAAAAGAATTGTACCTTGTTTGTCAGTAAAACCAATACAAATTAATCAAATTTTGTTTTGAAAGATAATGATCTTTACAAATTTATCTAAGAATTAAAATTATTAATAACATAGGATTAATAAATTATTAATAACATGTAATTATGTACAATTATTTTTCATACAAAAAGTATTATTTACTATTTATTATTTACTATTTTTAAATTAATTCATTTAACAACACAAACACACACATCATTTAAAATATAATATTGTCTTAATTATTTCTTTAAACGGTTTTTTAAACAAATTGTTAGAGATGTCATTTATGTATTGTTAATTAATATTTACCTTCAAAAGCATGCTCCAACATTTCTTCACCGATATCCTTATAAACCATAAGCTGAGACGAGTAATTCTCATCATTTGGCTGTAATAATTTAAAAAAATTAAAAATTAAGTTTTACCCCAATTAATCATAACGGCATCGCGTCAATAACTACTATATTGAAAAGGTATAGATACTTACGTCCATAGAAAAGTAGGAATAGTCATAATTGAAGCTCTTGACCGCTTCTTTGCTTCCTGGTGTAGCTTTTGGATTCACTATGGCTGCAACAGAAAAAGCAACGAATCAAATGTGTACACGATAAACTAATAATTATTTCATAAGTTGCTCGATTTAAGCTGCATGTTAGAAGTAGTACTTACAAGTAGTACTCCCCGTCATTTCTATGATACATTGTGCCTGACGACTGACCTCACGATAGTTGAAGGGCCGTACCCTCACCGCCACCTTAACCGACGACATTTTTTCCTGTTTTTTTCTTCTCTTTTTAATTTAACGTCGGGTCAAGCCGGCGGCGGTGCTGGCGATAACTTCCTCTCTCACTCGTCTCTCTATAACAAAATAACGTCTCGTTAATTGTGTCGCTATCAAATTAATCAATTTTACGTTTAATATCATTTATTGCGAGTACGTGACAAAAAATCTGCTACGAAACTACTCTCTAGTCTTCATATCTAAGAATATATCTCAGTTATTAATATATTATTCCGATAATACTTTTCCACGGAGGTGAATAAGAAAAGAGGAAAAAAAAACGTAGCGCGCAGTTTGCACGATATATTCGCGCGCGGAATATTTTTCACATCGTTAATCGTTGATCTAAATTACTGAAACCAAACAGAGTATCTTACAACACATATTCTTAGGGATCATATAAGATTCACATGTCTTTTTGTTAAATTAAAAACGCACGGTATATTTTTTCGTGCCCGAAATATTTTTCATGTAGGGGAAATTAATCGTTGACTTACTTAAACTACTAAAACTAGATAAATCACTTTACAACAACTTGTTCTTAAATATTATATAAGATTCACATGTCTTTTTATTAAATTCAAAATGTACGGTATATTTTTTCGTGTGCGGAATATTCTTCAGATACGGAAATTGTTAATTATTGATATAAACCACTGAAACTAGATAGATTTGTTACATCAGACTTGTTACATCAGATTTGTTATATCAGACTTGTTTTTAAGGATTATGTAAGATTTATAGGTCTGTTTTTATTATATTTAAAATGCCGTAGTTTTTTCTTGAGTATAATATTTTTCATGCAGGGATCGTTAATCATTGATCTAAACTACTGAAAACAGATGGATCACTTTATATCAGACTTATTATTAAATATCATATAAAATTCACAAATGTGTTTTTATTACATTTAAAATACATTATTTATTTTTTATCGTGTGCGAAATATATTTTTTATGTAAGAATCGTTAATTGTTGACCTAAACCACTAAAATTAAATGGATCACTTTACATTAGATTCATTTTTAATGACTGTATAAGATTGATTCATACTTTTGTCAAATTGAAATTTGAATTGCGCTTTACTTGATTTAAATTTATGCAAATATGTTGTCTAGTGTCTCATTATGGCCCATCTACAATACACGTAGTAAGCTTGATTTAAGAAGTAAGAGTAAGAAATTGACCAATCACAATCGATTATTCTTTTCACAATCGACTGTGATTGGTCAATTTCTTACTCTTACTTTTTAAACCAAGCTTACTTCGCATATTGTAGACAACGCCAGACATAAGAGATTTCAACGTTAGAATTCACATAATAATTGGCCGGTTGAATGTGATAACGACACTTTATAGATATATTTACAAGTCATAAGAGACTTGTGCGGGCCATTGATCCGTCCAAAAATACGTGAATTATTGGATACGGGAGAATAATTAATTAGTACTGTGACCGATCTATATTTGTAGAAAACCGAAGACGTATCATATTAATGCGAGAGACGAAATATTCATTTTAACTAATCGGTGAGCATTTGCAGGAAAGAATGAACGAACTCGACGAGAAATAGAAACAAATCAATTTTCCAAATATTCGATTAGTTTTCGATCAAATCTCACGATATCATATTATGTCAGAAAAAAACTTACTTAACGAAGAATCAAGCTCATTTTATTTTCTATAAGTATTCACAAATCAATATTGTTAATACAAATGATGAATGTCATATATTACAAAGGTATACTGACGTCATTATATGTCGATGTGAGGAGTATGTGAGATAATTCATTCATGCATTGCTCAGAAAATTGTGCGTGTAGGTCGATAATTAAAAAAAATACGACGTATTAATATATTATATACGTCAGTATTAATGTGTGTGTATATGTATCTATTATTAAATACATACAAGTGTATTAATATTGTCAAAGTGCAAAAAACATATTTCCTTTTTTGATGTATTATTTAAATTTGATTATTTAAAATTATTTAATTTTTCGATGTGTTATTTAAATTTGTCCATTTAAAATTATTTCATTTTTCCATTTATTAAATTTGTTCATTTTAAATTTTATTTTTCGTGTGATATTTAAAATAAGTGTGATATTTAAAGTATATTAACTATCTGTAAGTTGATGGATGACAACCAGTTGTCAATATTTCTGTTGAAATTCCGAAAGGATTGAACCTGAAAGCATGGAAATTGCGCAACTTACGCGTGTAAATTAGTTATCAGGAGTTGTGACGTCTTACGTAAAAATTCGCATGAATGCATAATCGAATCTGACCGATGCTAACAAGACGGAGAAGCTTCTCAATATGCGATACTAACGTGATTCAGTGAGGGACCATCTAATTAAACTTACCCTTGCTTATATTTCTTTTAACAAAGAAGAGAATTGTATTTGCTTTTCGATAAGCTATTCATTACTATTTGAGAAGTTTCGACTTAAACTGAGATCTTGATAATTTATAAATTATGAGAAGATTATTATAAAAATTATAAATGAATAATGCTTAACGAGATAATGGAAGAATAGGATAATTAGAAGAGAAAAAGATAGCAGGAAACGAAATAATGAAAGAATTAGGAAGGATAATGAGATAAGAGGAGAAAATTCCTCCTTGAAATAAATATCTCGGTTAGTCGCTACTGGCAGGAAACGGAAATGTAATATGTATCACATATGGATAATTTGTTAAATATATAACGCATTTTTTTCACATTATTGTAATGAATTTTACAAATATCAACATATTAACATAATAGATCACTGCTAACTAACGCTATCAAAATTTTTAAACATTTACTAAAAATAAACATCTAATAGAATTTTAAATGGCTACACAACAATGTAAAGTAAAAAGTGTGCTATTCAATAATAATTTTTAATTTCATTAATTACACAGGTTTACAAGGTTTTTATTACAAAAGAAGCAAGAGGTTTATCCGAAGGAATTCAGTGCGCTGAATTCAAATCTGACCTCAGAATGGCGCCATCACGTCAGGATTTTGAGATATTTTAACCTAAAAGTGCAAAAATGGCTGTTTTAGGGCATTATTAGAGTTCACTCCTGGTTGCAGAGAATTTTATGGACAAAAACTAAACAAAGTACCCTAAAGTACGAGTCTTGCCCTTCAATTTCCATTTTGGAACGTTCAAACAGGTTTTTTTTTCACCGAGATACAGCAGATTTAAGTTTTTACTGCATACAGAAAATCAAATAAAGCGATGATGTTCATTTGAAATACCTTAACCCTTTTGATTTTGAGCAATTCTGGAAAAAAGAGTTTGTAGTTCAAAGGGTCCCGAGGGTCGCTGCTCACGAATCTGGACTCAGATTTCCAAAATTCAAGATGGCGAATTGAATATGGTGGACGTCGATCCAGAAAATTTAGTCTTGAATTTTGGAAATCTGAATCCAGATTCGTGAGCAGCGACCCTCGGGACCCTTTGAACTACAAACTCTTTTCCAGAATTGCTCAAAATCAAAAGGGTTAAGGTATTTCAAATGAACCAACATCATCGCTTTATTTGATTTTCTGTATGCAGTAAAAACTTAAATCTGCTATATCTCGGTGAAAAAAAATCCTATTTGGACGTTTCAAAATGGAAATTAAAGGGCAACTCGTACTTTATGGTACTTTATTTAGTTTTTGTCGGTAAAATTCTCTACAACCAGGAGGAAACTCCAATAATGCCCTAAAACAGCCATTTTTGCACTTTTAGGTTAGAATATCTCAAAATCCTGACATGATGGTGCCATTCTGAGGCCAGATTTGGATTCAGCGCACCAAATTCCTTCGGAAATCAATATAAAGTTTCATGTGATATTAAATACTTTAATTTGTAGACCTGTGTTATTAATCATATTTCGCAATATTTTATCATTATATACAGGATGTCTCACGACATTTTCGCATTTCCTTTGAAGAATGTATTCTTGAGATAATTTTGAGACGAAAATTCTAATACAAAAATGTCGAGGCTATAATAATTTTTGAATTATAATTGGTTAAAGATAGTTTGTAATTTAAAAACTATTATAGTCTCAATATTTTCGTATTAGGATTTTTGTCTTAGAATATTCAAAAGAATCCAGAAACAATAATAGAGGCTATAAAAGTAAAATGGTTTTTGACTTATAAGCATTTAAAGTTAGCTTATAATTCAAAAAATTATTGTAGTCTCGACATTTTCATATTAGGATTTTCGTCTCAAAATTACCTCAAGAATATGTCCTTAAGAAGAAAGGCGATAGTTGTGAGACACCCTGTATATATATATATATATACGTTTATAAAAATTGTATTGTAAAATATACGTGATAAGATGTACAAAATTTGCTGGGCAGACAGTATATTAAGAATATTAGAATAAGAACCGAAGGAGCTTTGAACTCTAGCATCTGGCAGAGCCTACCATTTCTCGAGAGTGTTAAAAAACACGCGAAAGATCGCCTAAAAAACCGCGATGTGACAGCTTTGAGGAAATCGAAGAGATGATCAACGATCAGATTTCCGGAAGAAACGTCCCTTCTATGACAAGGCCGTTCCTGTAATCGATGTGCAAAACATCCATCACGGCAGCGGCGTGATCGATACGACAGCGTATCCGAGTGTAGTTCGCCGGAGGAAGGTCCGGAAGGGGTGTGAGGCGGGCACGGTGTGTATATGTGGATTTTTACGATCGATCGTCTTCATGCTCGGAGGATACGACGTCGTACGGACGTCGGGCTTACCTCTTCTCGGCGAAAAGAGAGCGCCGAAGGAGGGGTCAAGCAGGAGTGCTAAGAAAAGACCGAGGATGTCTCGATCGCGATCCAAGATCCTTTCCCTTTTGCGTCAAGAAAAAAAAATGATGTACGAGCGACGAGGCGAGAAGGAGAGATTCGCAGATGACACTACTCGCGACGACGTTCTTCGCGGTACAACGGCGTTCTTCACTTCACTCTACGTCACTACGTCGGCCATCCGTTGAACGATCCGCGACCTGCGAGAACCTCGGCAGCCACGTAGGCGGACATTATAGCGCGTGTATACTTGCGCGCACGCATACGAGTTACGAGCCA